GTTCCAGACCAGCCTGGGCAATATAGTGAGACCCCCATCTCTATCTAAAAATAAATAAATAAATAAAAATTTAAAAAAAGAAAAAGAAAATGATGAGGGTTTTTTTCCAACCTTTTTTCTTCTTTTCTCTAACCTTAATCCCTTTCACTTTTTCCTTTACCTTACTGCACTGGCCAGAATTTCCAATATCATGTTGAATTGAAATGGTCAGCAGGTATCTAGCCTTATTCCAGATCTCATGGGGAAAAGCTTTTAATATTTTCATATTAAGTACGATTGTGCCAGAGATTTTCTGAAGGAAGTTCCTTTCTGTACCTGGTTTGCTTCGGGTTTTTAAGCATGCCTGCGCATTAGCTCCTATCCAAAGCTCTTCCTGCAACCACTGAGATGACCATACGGTTCTTCCCTTGATTCTGGTAATATGATAAATTACATTATTTGATTTTCATTCCTGGAATAAATCCAACTTGGTCACAATGTGTTAAAAAAGTAAGAGAGGTGGAGGAGAGGAGGCCCCAGCTGGCATGCAATAGAACACAGATTAAACCACAAGGAATTATCAGTGGTCCTTGAATTAGTAAGGATCCCTTACTTCCTCTCCTCTTGTGAATATTCATTCAACATCTGCTCAATATATATTAAAATAATATTGAGAATCTTTTACCACGCCAGCCTTGTTGTAGGCAGCGGGAACGCAGTGGTGAGCATGGCCCTGAGGAGCTCTGTCCTAATATCGTGGTGGAGGAGGCCTGGGCAGTCACAGATGACAGATGAACCAATGCAAAGAAACCATCCGACAGAGTGACGGGTGACTCGCAGACTGCCTATGGGGAGTGAGACCAAGGGCGACAGGGAAAGGCAGCGATGCTCCACGCAGAGCGCTGTCAGGCGCCCGGCCTCATGTGGCAGAGGCGGCAGGAGCTAGGTCCCTCAGTGCCTGAAAGGCCAGAGTTGAGTCTCATTTTATTCTCAGAGTGACAGGTGGCCACTGGAGTTTTTAATCTGGAAAGTAAATGACTAATGTAACTTAACTTTTCCACAGACTGCCTTGCACTGCTCCGTGCAGAACAGACTGTGGGGGGCGGGGGTGCAGGCAGGGGCAGGGGGCTCCAGGGAGAGGCGTTACTGCCATGGGTCAGGGCGCAGCAGGGATGAACATGCCGCTGTAAGCAGGGAGAAAACACCAATACAGAAGCAGAAAAATGCCTCTAGGTTCCTTGGGAGAGGCTGACAATACAGAAATCAAAGCATTTCAGCAAAAGAAACTGTAACAACTGCATCTGTTCTTTTCATAAAGCTAGACTGTGGATTTCTATGTTCCAAGGTAGTTACATAGGGATTTTTTTTTTTTTTTTTTTTTTTTTGCTTTGTTTTGTTTTTGAGATGGGATCTCACTCTGTCACCAGGATGGAGTGCAGTGGGCAATAATGGCTCACTGCAGCCCGGACCGCCTGGGTTCAAGCGATCCTCCCACCACGGCCTTCTGAGTAGCTGGGACTACAGTCACACACCACCATGCCTGGCTAATTTTTTTTTTTTTTTTGGAGATGGAGTCTCACTCTGTCACCCAGGCTGGAGTACAATGGCACGATCTGGGCTCACTGCAACCTCTGCCTTCTGAGTTCAAGCAATTCTCCTGTCTCAGCCTCCCGAGTAGCTGGGATTACAGGCACCCACCACCACACCCAGCTAATTTTTGTATTTTATTACAGACAGGGTTTCACCATGTTGGCCAGGCTGGTCTCAAACTCCTGACCTCAGGTGATCTGCAGGCCTCGGCCTCCCAAAGGGCTGGGATTACAGGGCGTGAGCCACAGTGCCTGGCCTTTTTGGGAAAAAAATTTTTTGTAGAGGCCAGGCTCGGTGGCTCACGCCTGTAATCCCCAGCATTTTGGGAGGCCAAGGTGGGCGGATCACAAGGTCAGGAGTTTGAGACCAACCTGGCTAACAAAGTGAAACCCAGTCTCTACTAATAATACAAAAAATTAGCTGGGTGTAGTGGTGGGCGCCTGTAATCCCAGCTACTTGGGAGGCTAAGGCAGGAGAATCACTTGAATCCAGGAGCTGGATGTTGCAGTGAGCCAAGATCGCGCCACTGCACTCCAGCCCGGGAGACACTGCGAGACTCTGTCTCAAAAAAAAAAAAAAAAATTGTAGAGATGGGGGTCTCCCTATGTTGCCCAGGCTGGTTTCAAACTCCTGGGTTCAAGTGATCCTCCTACTTTGGCCTCCCAAAGTGCTGAAATGACAGGCATGAGCCACCAAGCCCAGCCAAAAAATATGTTTAAAGCAACTCCCAGAGAAGCCCACTGTATTAAAGATTTTCATGTAATTGCAGGTGAGAGTGACATATCATATACACACTGTGCTATTAAATTCAGGTGCTGGCTGTGAAGGTACACTGTTTGGGAACATCTGTCCCCCTGCACAAAGCAGCTGACCTCAGGGCTAAGAAATAAATGGCTTGGAGGAAATAGCTCTAACATGACAAATCATTTTATAAATTCTCATTCACACTCTCCCTTCAACCAGTCTTCATACTTCAGTAGCTGCTACAGGACATACATAACTGGGTAGAGAGAAACTGGGTCTGGAGATGAGAACCACACTATACTATGCACACTGTAAAGCCTGGAACTGCTTCCCTGAACTCATACCAGTCCATCCAATGTTCTGTCCTCCCCAGAAAGGTGGGAAGGTGGGATCTGGGCTTCATACAATTGGGATATACTAGTTGAGGGCCTAGCAGTAAACTTCCCAGAAAAATGAAAAGACAGAAAACAGATTGAGGCCAGAGGGAGGAGGCCCACATGAGAAGAGGGGCTAGAGATAGTATTCTCAGCCAGATGTAGTGGCTCACGCTTGTAATCCCAACACTTTGGGAAGCTGAGGCAGGTGGATCACTTGAGTCCAGGAGTTCAAGACCAGCCTGAGCAACATAAGGAGATCTCATCTCTCCCTCTCTCTTTTTTTTTTTTTTTTTTTGAGACAGAGTCTCGCTCTGTTGCCCAGGCTGGAGTGCAGTGGTGCAATCTCAGCTCACTGCAAGCTCCGCCTCCCAGGTTCAAGCGATTCTCCTGCCTCAGCATCCCGAGTAGCTGGGACTACAAGCACGCGCCACCAGGCCCAGCTAATTCTTTTCGTATTTTTAGTAGAGACGGGATTTTACCACGTTGGTCAGGCTGGTCTCAAACTCCTGACCTCAGGTGATCCACCCTCCTGGGCCTCCCTAAGTAGTGGGATTACAGGTGTGAGCCACCATGCCTGGCCAGAGATCTCATCTCTAAAAATAAGAGTAAAAATTAAAAAATTAAAACCTAGCTGGGCATGGTGGAGTGTGCCTGTGCTCCCAGCTGCTTGGGAGGCTGAGGTAGGAGGATCACTTGGGCCTGGGAGGTCAAGGCTGCAGTGACCCAAGATCGTGCCATTGCACTCCAGCCTGGACCACAGAGCGAGACCTTGTGTCAAAAAAAAAAAAAAAAAAGAGAGACAGAGAAGGTCTCCTCAAGCACAGCCAAGTCAGTGTCCCGGGGGCCAGAGAAACTTGACTGGAGACTGACAGCAAACAGAGATAAGCTCTGGCTGGCTGTGATAAGGGAAATTCACCAAGAAACACAAGGTAACTAACGGACCTGGACAAGCTCTGCAAGCTGGCAGGTGTCAAGAGGGACAGAATGGGAGGCGGGAGACTACAGATTTATAACAAACCAGAAGTTAGAAGCAGTATCACTACTTTCATGTTTTCTAAGGTTTGAATAAGAAAGAAGGAGCTGTTACTAAAAACAAAACTGTTACTAAAAGGAGCAAAACCCCACATAAACTCAGAAAACAAGAAATGACTTCCACAGCTTCAGTGAGAGTGAGCTGAGCGGCATGTCGGCTGACATAAGTGCTACGAATCACACAAGGCACAGTGAAGACTAAGAGGAGACACTTACTACGAATCTACTTTGCACTTTCTCCAGAATTCTTTTTTCATTTAGAGCCATAGCTTCACCTTTCCTCTTCTTTATTCTTTTTTTTTGTAGCTTTTTACAGGCATACATTTTTCCTGTGGCTCGCACTTGACAGGCACAAACCTAGTTTAAACAGCAAAGTAAAGGAGGTTTATGTCCACCTGACGTTTCTTAGGCCACACAAAGGAAACCCTTTGCTTGATGAGGCCCTCACTGGCAGAGACCAGCAGCAGCGCATGAGGAGACCGTCTCAAAGGTGGGCGTTGTCAGTGTGAGTCGGCTCCTCCTCTCAGTGACGCGCTGCGTTCTATCAACTCTAAGACAGTGTACAACGGCACTAGTTGGCATAGGTGATCACGGTACATCTGTTTAATTTTTAAATGTTCCCATATGTCTATTTTACTTTTTGTAAAAGTGCAAAAGTTTTAAAAAGTAAAACTAAAAAGATTCTTTTTTCAGCTGGGCATGGTGGTTCATGCCTATAATCCCGGCACTTTGGGAAGCCAAGGCAGGCAGATCACCTGAGGTCAGGAGTTCGAAACCAGCCTGGCCAACATGGTGAAACCCCGTCTCTACTAAAAATATGAAAAAAAAAAAAATTCACCAGCCATGGTGGCGGGTGCCTGTAATCCCAGCTGCTCTGGAGGCTGAGGCAGAAGAATCACTAGAACCTGGGAAGCAGAGGATGCAATGAGCCGAGATCGTGCCACTGCACTCCAGCCTGGGTGACAGAGTGAGACTCCATCTCAGGATTCTCCTGCCTCAGCCTCCGGAGTAGCTGGGATTACAGGTGCCCGCCACCATGCCTGGCTAATTTTTCTTGTATTTTTAGTAGAGACGCCATGTTGGCCAGGCTGGTCTTGAACTCCTGACCTCAGGTGATCCGCCCACTTTGGCCTCCCAAAGTGCTGGGATTAACAGGTGTGAACCACTGTGCCTGGCCTAAAAAGATTCTTGAATTTTTAATTTAAAAAGTCAAGAGTATAAGGAAATATATTTCATATAATTCACAATTTTCATATCTTTATTCTATTACTTCTTAAAGTAGTATTTATGTATTATTTTAACTTTATGTCATGAAAAATTTCCAACATACAAAAGTGGAAAAAATAGTATCATGAGCCTCAGGTTCTGGTCCCCCTGCCTCTGTGTCATCAACATTAGGCTACTGTTTCTTCCAACTCCCATCCATTGCACGCCCCACAGGGGACTGCTTTAAAAGCAAACGTAAGACATGATATAATTTTATCTACCAATAAAACAATTTTGGTGGTAAAAGAAATACAAAGTTAATTGTGGAAAATACTGGAAGTAAGAAGGACAGTGATTAAAAACTCACCTGCAATTCCAAGATAATCACTGTTAATATTTTGTTCTATTTGATTCTAGGCCCACCTTCTTACATGGGTATGCAAGAATACATACCCTGTTCCCCACCACCCCAGCCTTTGATGGCAAAACTGGTCTCATATTGTAAAATAGGTAATATTTCTTAACCTCCTTTTTAAAAATCTTATTGTGTGACTATTTTCCTATCATGAAATGTTTTCCTAAAATGTGACTATCGCAAAATGAATTTAATCATTTTCTTACTATTAAGACTTGGCATAAAAATCTCTTCATCTCTCTTTATCACTAATTTTTAAAAAGTTATTCTAAGTGGAATTGGCCAATCAGAGACAGGGAATGGAAAGCGGACAAGAGTGTCAGGCACTGTGCTAACAGCTGGGGGTGAACACTCACCGGCTTACAGCAGCCTGGCGGGCAGGGCCGATTATTTCCCTGCGAGAGGTGAGATCGCCATTGCGGGCCCAAGATCACACTGCTGGAAGTGACACGACAGGACCCTGACCTCAGGTCTGTCCACGTCTGAGTACGTGCTCCTTCCACTACAGTCTGCGGCCTAACACCATGACAGCAGAGATGGCTACTCAATTCCCTTACCATTGTGCTCACTCAGGACCCTACAAATTAATTTCGGAGGACTTCAAGCATAAGCAAAAGAATGACTGTTGACAAAATAAAACCAACTACGTTTGCTCTCTCAAGACCACTAGAGGAAGTGCTAGCACTTGGAAAAAGCAAATGCACGATTAGAATCTGGATTAAAGGGCACCAAGGCTGTCCCCGCATTAGGGCGAGCAGGGCTCCTTCCGACAGGCATTCAGAGTAGGAGTGGGCTGACTGCTCACTGCCTCTGGGCCTTGACGGAGAGCACACCGCCTCCAGAGCAAGTCTGCTGAAAACTGCCACGCTTGATTCGTGCAGCCGGTCATTCGTTTGGGAACCCAAGTAAATCTGTTAAAAAGTAATCTATACAATCGTAATTATACTAAGTCTTTCTTGTCTTCTTTTTTATGTATTTATTTATATTAAATATTTAAATAGAGAGGGGGTCTTGCCATGTTGCCTAGGCTGGTCTGGAACTTCTGGGCTCAAGTGATCCGCCCACCTTGGCCTCCCAAAGTGCTAGGATTACAGGTGTGAGCCACCGCACCCAGCATCAGGTCTTTCACAATAGCTAAAATTTGCTAACATGTCCCTGTTGAATCCTATCAGGACTGACATGTTTTATAAACTGACATGTGGCTATAATTAGACTTTCATTCCTTTGTAAACACATGACCTACGTTCCAGAAATGTTTCCTCTGCTCTTTCACAAAATTTGAGTCTTTACTTTTGCAGATCATTAGAGGCAGATTAGCAAGACTTGAAGTGAGAAAATGCCTCTCCTGTTCTAGGACAAACTCAAACAGAGGGCGGATTTCTTACAGAAATATCTGTCATGGAGGGACGAGAGCAAGCATTTGACTGGATTAGGCAAAATATTCTTCACGGCCTCTGGAACTGTAGCAGAGGGACAGTACTGTTACTGAAGTCATGACTATGTTGGCCAATTTCTTGTCATGTCAAGCTGCAGGTGCATGACAGATCTCGGTTGCAGTGTGCTGCCTCCTAGGTCAGCTTTCTAATTAACTTCAAGCCAATGCTAGTGGCTTTTGCTTTGAATGTAACATGGGAGCAATAATATCTGAGTCACACCCAGGCAGTGTAACCTCCTTCTGAGTTAAACATACAGTGTTAGTTTGGCAATGGCTTGCCTGGCTCTTAGGGGCTTGTAAGTTCTTGAACTCCATATGATCACTCCAGGTAACTAATAAGGTAATTAACATTCTTTTAAATTCCCCAGACCAGAACTGCTGCTGTTCTCCATCCGCCAACTACAGTGGTCTCCATCTAGGAGACCCATCATATTTAAACAACACCCCAGGCCGGGCGCGGTGGCTCACGCCTGTAATCCCAGCACTTTGGGAGGCTGAGGAGGGCGGATCACCTGAGGTCGGGAGTTCAAGACCAGCCTGACCAACATGGAGAAATCCTCCTCTACTAAAAATACAAAAATTAACCAGGTGTGGTGGCGCATGCCTGTAATCCCAGCGACTCGGGAGGCTGAGGCAGGAGAATCGGTTGAACCCAGGAGGCGGAGGTTGCAGTGAGCCGAGATCACGCCATTGTACTCCAGCCTGGGCAAGAAGAGCAAAACTCCATCTCAAACAAACAAACAGACAGACAGACAAACAAAAAATCCCTCGTGAGTCTGTGAGTCCTTTCCTTAGGATTTTCCCAAATTGACACATTTCCAAACACCTTTTGATGTAGGTATGAGCTACATACATGTCCAAACAGAGCAGGGTTACATAAGTATATTTAATAATTCACTCTGTACTATGTGAATTTGGGGTCAGTCTTAAATTTACGGAAATAGAATCATGGAAATTCCACAATACAGGAGCAGAATCATCTTTCCATCTGGGCAAAGTGACTGAGCTGGGGCATCAAGCAAGGAAACCAGCTTCTTCAGAACTATGAGGTAAAAGGTGAAGTCACCAAGAGAAGGGATTCTTCAAAACCTTTTGCTCAAAATTCCATGTGGATTCTCACAGTTGGCTAAGATGATTCCCAAAACGCCCACTAAGGCAACAGTGTACTGGGAGAGTTGATGCGTTACCTGAAGCCGTGTTCTCAGGACCTTGCTGCCCACCCAGCTAGCAGCGCTGCTGGGAACTGGCTCCCATTACTCACCTCTCCAAATCCGCCTTTTCCTAGAACTCTGTAATGTCTAAATGTGTTCTTGGTTACGGGCTGCCTAATCAATGAGAAAAACAAGTTTCAGGTCCACATTGCATTGTTCTTTTAAAACAGAAAAGACTAATCAGCGCTTGTCTTCGCCTCATTTATTGAACCATTCTGCTCAAAGGGGATGCCCAGGACCAAGGGTGTCTGTGCTCAGGGACTGTGGCTCCCTCTAGCAGGACAGCTCTTGACTTGCTCTAAGAGCAATTAATTCATCTTTTTTTTTTTGAGATGGAGTCTCACTCTGTCGCCAGGGCTGGAGTGCAGTGGCACGATCTCAGCTCACTGCAACCTCCGCCTCCTGGGTTGAAGCAATTTTCCTGCCTCATCCTCCCAAGTAGCTGGGATTACAGGCACCCGCCACCACACCCAGCTAATTTTTTGTATTTTTAGTAGAGACGGGGTTTCACCATGTTTGCCAGGCTGGTCTCAAACTCCTGACCTTGTGATTCGCCTGCCTCAGCCTCCCAAAGTGCTGGGATTATAGGTGTGAGCCACCACCCGGCCAATTAATCTTAATTAACATTTAAGACACTGAAGCAAAAGGCAGAACAGTCCAATTATCCTAACTAACTAAAGACAGGTCTGAAACCAGCTGACACTAGGAAATGTGTATGTTCATAAGTGCCGGTGTAGACTTGGGTAGACCCCTCTCAACCTGTCAGAAAGCAGGTGAGGAAGATGACATATATACATTGTGCCATCCTTTGAAAAAAGAACCTCAAAGATGTTTATACCCAATGCCTCAAAAACAGCATGTATAAGCAAGAACTGGAAATTTAATCGATCAATAATAATAGTACTAATAATAACACTAGTAGCAGCTAACCCTTTTTTTTTTTTTTTTTTTTTTTGAGACAGAGTCTTGCTCTGTCACCCAGGCTGGAGTGCAGTGGAGCCACCTCAGCTCACCACAAGCTCCACCTCCCGGGTTCAAGCGATTTCTCCTGCCTCAGCCTCCCAAGTAGCTGGGAGTACAGGTGCACGCCACCACGCCTGGCTAATTTTTGTAGTTCTAGTAGAGATGGGTTTCACTATTTTGGCCAGGCTGGTCTCGAACTTCTGACCTCAGGTGATCCAGCCGCCTCGGCCTCTCAAAGTGCTAGGATTACAGACATGAGCCACTGCACCCGGCCCGCAGCTAACACTTTTTAAGTACTTATTTTGTGCACCAAACATTGTGCTATAAGCGTTGTACACACATTTCCCAGGTGATCCTAGCAATGGTGCAAGGAGGCAGATTCTATAATTACCTCTAATTTACAGAACAAGGACCTGCCACTCATACAGGCTAAGCCACTTACCTGAGGCCACATAAACAGTAAGAGGCTGAGCAGGTTTTAACTGCCAGGTGCCACCCACTGCATCCTATTCTATCACCAAAAATCTAAGCTAAGTTTTATTTTCTGGTCACTGAAACAACAGGGATACCTGCCATTTTAAAAAGAGAGAACAGAGTCTATTAAATTAGAAGAAATTGTACAATACTAATACCTATGAAAATTTCTGTATAAAAATATCATATACAACTCAAAATTTCTAATTGTATTTTGACAGATGGAAAAGTCTATGTCAATCAGTATGTATTGTGAGAAATTAACATTTGTTTTATTGAGGTCTCTTTTCTTTTTTTCTTTTTTAGAGATGGGGTCTTGCTACATTGCCCAGATTGGAGTGCAGTGGTTATTCACAGGAATGATCATCTCATACTATAGCCTTCAAGTCTTGGGCTTAAACAATCCTCCAGCCTCAGCCTCCTGAGTAGCTGGGGCTATAGGCATGTGCCACTTCAACTGGCTTTTATTGAGTTTAAAATTAGAACATACCTTTCCAGCCATTTCCATTGTAAAAACTGAGAAAAATATGAGCTTTCTTGGTATTCTTCAAATGGTTCCCCTCTTAAGTAGTTATGGGTAACTCTAGAAAAAGATTTTACAAAATTATATACATTTGCTGTATTAAGAAGTAAAAACAAGTATGTTTTAGTGCATTAATAGGCACTGAATATGGGAAAGGCAATCATTACACACAATTCAATAGTTTGAATTTGCAATTATAAAAGTCCACATTAGGTTCTAACGCTGTAAGTGAAAACAGAAGTGAAATAGAATGAATGCAAAGAGCAGTGAAGTAGAAGGATGCATTCCCTTCTTGGGAGTGAGGGCGTCAGCTGCTCTGTTGTCAAGCAGCACGCTTCCCATGTGCAAGGCACAGTGGAAGGGTCCCCGGAGGACAGCACAGAAGTCAAAGCCATGGGCTGCTGCACGTCCTGCTTCAGCCACTCACTGGCTGAGGGACCTCAGCCAACTTACCCAACCTCTATGGCCTCAGTTTCTCCTTCTGTAAAACAGAAATAATAATCATGCCTACTTCAGAGGGTTACTGTGAGCAGGTAAACGCATTAATACTTCCAAACATTTATGATTGTTTTGTTATTTTTTGTTGGTGGTGTTGTTTAGAGACAGGGTCTCACTCTGTTGCCCAGGCCAGAGTGCAATGGCACAATCATGGCTCACTGCGGCCTTGAACTCCTGGCCTCAAGCAATCCTCCCTCCTCAGCCTCCCAAAGCACTGGCACTACAGGTGTGAGCCACGAAGCCTAGCTTTATTATTGTTGTGTTATTACTATTACATGTCTCTTAGTGCACATGTACAAGAAAGAGTTTAGGTTGTGTACATGCCCAGAAGAGGGATGTGAAGAATAAAAGTGTGGAATGAAAGATTGGCCCTTCCTGGCTTCTGTGACATCCCAGATGAAGACAGGAAGAAATCTGATTCTTACCACAATGTCCCAGGATCAGTATCAGAGAGCACAGACCAAGCCTGTCCTGTCTGCTATACCAGAGAAGCAATCAAATGGAGCCATGAAGCCAACATCTCTTTTCTTTTTTTTGGTCTGGCTCTGTCACCCAGGCTGGAGGGTAGTGGTGAGGTCACAGTCACTGCAGCCTTGACCTCCCAGGCTCAACTGATCCTCCCACCTCAAGCCTTCTGAATAGCTGGGACTATAGGCATGCACCACCATGCCTGGCTAATTTTTGTATTAGAGACAGGGTTTCACCATGTTGCCTAGGCTGGTCTCGAACTCCTGAGGTCACACAATCTTTCTGCCTTGGCCTCCCAAAGTGCTGGGATTATAGGCATAAGCCATGGTGCCCAGCCAGAGACAACATCTTCTTGCAAAACAGTTCAAATCACAAACACTAGAATACCATTACTGTGAATATCCAACAAGAATAAGTAAAAGATGACTTGAAATTGAAAATATTTACATTTACTCTAATCCATTTACTCTAATACATTTTCAGAGGAGGGGGCTGAGGGACAGAGGGAAGGGTTCTAGTCCAGTGCCATACACCTGGCTAAGAGAAAGATGGGATGCATGCCATTTATCTGTGGGATGTAGAATTGGCCACTGAATTCTCACTAAAGGAATAAGCATCTAACCCAGCTCCTCAGTGTGCAGAGTACCCACACCTCAAGAGAAAGCCAGA